GACTTGAACTGCATTTGGCCATGTGGGAGTCCAGCGCCTCAACTACCACACTATCTGCTGGCCCCACCCAGTCTTTTTACGTATTTTTTTAATTTAACTTTATTTATTTGCTGATTTATTTATTAATTTTAATTTGACCAGAGAAAGAAAGAGAGAGAGAGAGAGAGAGAGAGAGAGAGAAAATGAAAAAGCAAAGCAAGCCGCCCGGTTTAGGGCTTGAACCGCAGTCGGCCATGTGGAAGTCCATCACCCTTAACCACCACGCCACCTGCCAGTCCCAGTCTCTTTACTTTTTAACTTCTATTTTTTTTATGCAGGCCTGAAGGCATTGAACGGCAGTACAGAAAGAAGTGTGCAAAGTAAGTATTAACTGTGTGGGTTCCTCCAAGTACTCGCAAGTAGAGACATAATGTGTTAGAAAATAATTATTTCAATATAGTTCTCTTTTATGTCTTTATCCTTATAATCTCAACTGCCTTCAAGCTTCAGCTACAAAAATACCAATACGCTCCCCAAAAAGTCTAACCAGTTTCATCCCTGCCCAGCTGTCCACAAAATGAGTTTTTAACATAGTATACTTTTTTTTATTTTAGTTTTTTCCCATAGGGTGCATGTGCTTGCTGGAGAGAGACAGAGAGAGAGAGAGACAGAGAGAGAGAGAGAGAAAGTGAGAAATCACTTTTCACGGCAGATAGCCATGCCATAATTCCTTCTACTCCACTCTTTTCTTGGGATTTTTGGGCATGCACACACATGCACCCAGCATGATTTTGAAGTCACCAGGTCTGGGACTTGAACTGTGGTTGGCCATGTAGGAGTCCATCACCCTAATAACCATGCTACCTGCTGGTCCCAATAACTTTGTATAACTTTTTAAAAATGGAGATGTAATTTATAACAATATCAGATTGGCCCATTTTGTGTATCCATTTCCATGAGTTTTTTTAAAGAATTATTGTATTTGTTATTATTATTATTATTATTACATGCGTTTTGCCAGAGAAAGAAAGACAGAGAGAAAGCAAGACGCCATGTTCAGGACTCGAACTCTGGTTGGCCATTTGGGAATTCTAGCGAGTTCACCACCACACCACCTGCTGGCCCCCACTTCCATGAGTTTTGACAGAAGTATATAGTTGTGCGCCACCACTGTCATCATGATATAAAAGTATTTCTAGCACCTCGCTGTGCCCTTTGCAGTGGGCCCCCTTCTTCTACCCTGCTCCCCAGGCAGGCAGGGAGTTGCTTTCTGTCATGGCAGTTTTGCCTTTCCTAAAACTTATGTTAGTGCTACAATATGTCTCCTACTAGAAACAATATGTATCTTCGGACCTGGTTTCTTTCACTTAGTGTAATGCTTTTGAGATTCATCTGGGTTGTTACATGAATTAATCATCCTTTCCTCTTTATTGCTAAGTAATATTCCATTGGGCCACAGTTTGTTCACCTATTCAACCATTGAAAAGCATTTGAGTTGTTTCTGGTTTGGGCTCTTACCAATAAAGGTATGAACATTTGAGTGTAAATCTTGGTGGGAACAACGTATTTTCTCTTTAAGTGGGATTGCAGGGTCATACGGTAAATGTTACATGTGTAATTTAATCCAGACTTATTTATAGAGCCAGTTATAAGACTATTGACCTAAGATTCTTGGTTTAGACAATATTACTTAAAGCAAATGTAATTATTCCCAGCATTAGGCTGTTAATAGTGAGAATATTAAACTATAATAAGGGGGCCGGCAGGTGGCATGGTGGTTAGGGGCAATGGACTCTCACATGGTCGACCGCTGTTTGAGTCCCAGACCTGGTGGCTTGTTTTCTCATTCTCTCTCTTTCTCCCTTTCCGGTCAAATTAAAACAAACAAATAAACGAAGTTGAATAAAATAATTCTTCAAAAAAACCCTTTAAGTACAATCTTGATGTAACTTTGCTCTTAGAGGACACAGACAAGAATTAAAGCAGAGGGAAACGGATAAGACATTTTTTTTTCCTGGTTACATTAGATTGATTAAGCTGGTTATATTATATCATAGACATCTACTTTATTTAGCTCAAAAAGTATAATGGCCAGCCAAAGAAAGTGGCGATGACTATGGGGGTTAGTTTGCCTACCACTGTAGTAGAGCAGTTAACACTGTGAAGACAAAACAAAACAAAACAAAATAGACAAAACATGCAAGGTAGTTACTCAGATGCCTGAGAATAGCAGGGGTTTTTTTGTTTTCTTTACTTCTTGTTTTGAGAGGTTTTTGCTAAAGGGTGTGTGCGCTTGCCACACAGACAGAGAGAGATGGAGAGACAGAAAGCGAGAAATCACCCCCTGGGGGGATGGCTCCCTTCTCCTCCATTCTCCTCTTGGGATCTTGGGCGCACACGCACACCTGCCCAGCGTGAGTTTTAAGCCACCGGGTCCGGGACTTGAACTGCGGTCAACTACATGGGAGTCCAGCAACATAGCCATTATGCTAACTGCTGGTCCTAAGAATAGCAGTTTTGACTGGAAAGCAATCAGTAACATGAGCCAGCATGTCCCAAACTTGTCTAATGAGAAGAATCACTTGGGGTACTGATTAAAGTGACAGATTCCCAGCCTCCCCAACCCCTAGATTTGCTGAATCAGTACCTTCTGAGGCAAGACCTAGGAAGCTGATCAGCAGTTTTACAAGCATCTAAGTGATCCTTACCGAGTAGTTTTGGGAATACTGAGAAAAGCTAATCATGAGCTTATCTACAAACAAAAAATATTCCCAGAGTCTAAGCATACTTTGTGAAGTGCTGTTGGGGGTTTAGATTCTGGGGTCTCCCAGAGATTCACTGTGCTCTTTGCAGGTGTGGACTACCACTGTTCTACCAGTCTCAGCCGAAGAATGCCCCCGTGACCTTCATTGTGGATGGAGCAGTCGTCAAGTTTGGCCAGGGTTTTGGTAAAACCAATATATATACTCAAAAACAAGAGCCTCCTAAGAAGGTAATCTATCGTCTAAGGAGGCAGACTGCTTAAAATAGCTATTGATTTAGTCCCAGATTTTAAAATAAGATTATAGTGTATGAGAAAGTGCCCTTTATGGATGCATTCTTTGTTAAAATGATGCCATTTTTGTGTACAAGTTGATTATCCCTTATCTGAAATACTTAGGACCAGAATTGTTCTGGATTTCAGATTTTGGGTTTTGTTTTTTTTTTTTGACATTAGACTATTTGCATATTTGTTATAGGCTATTTTAGGGATGAGACCCAAATCTGAACACACAATTCATTTATATTTCATATACTTATATATGTAACCTGAAGGTATTGGTATTAATCTATAGTAATTGTGTGTTGCAGCAGTTTGACTGCAGTCTGTCACATGAAGTCAGTTGTAGAATTTTCCACTTGGGGTATCATGTGTGTTTTAAAAAGTTTCAGATTTTGGAATGCTTTGGATTTTGGTTCTTTGGATTATGGATGCTCAATCTCTATAATGAGATGTTGCAGAATTCTAACACCTGTTATGTGTTCTTTTTTCTTTCCTATAATGGCCTTGTAAGAGTAGATATTGTATGGTTTTTATTTATATTTATTCATTTCACAATTTCTTATTCCAGTGTGAACAATTAAAAATGGAATTAATTAGGCTAATTTCAAAATATACTTTAAAAACCATTGATGGCAGGGCTACTCAAGAGAAGCCAGATCCCACAGGGTAACTGTGGTTTGAATCTCTAACCCAGTCTGAAACACCCTGGGCATGTGTGCAAGTGCCCAGGCTGAAGGACTGGAGGAAGGGGATTGTGGCGTGACCAGACCCTGTGGAGGGTGCTTGTTTCTTTCTCTCTCCCACTCTCTCTCTCCCCCTGGCCCCCTTTTCTCTCTTTCTCACTCTCATGTATACACACATGCATTCTATCATGAATGAAAAGCAAAACCAAACCAAACCCTTGATGGCAAACGTTAGAAATATATAATGCAGGGTGGCTCTGTATTGCACTGGTAATGCACTCTCAAGAGAAGCTGGATATCTGGGCCAGCCCATGGGAGCAGCCCAAGGGAGCTGGATCCCATATGGCTGATGCCCAGTTCAAGTCCCAGAACCAGTGGCTTGAAAAACACACCAGGCAGGCGTGCCTGTATGCCCCAAATCTCAAAAGTAGGGAGAAATGGAGGAGAAGGGATTGTAGTATATCCATGCACTGTGAATAGTGCTTTCCCTCTGTCCCTCTGTCTCTCTTGGGTAAGCATGTGTGCCATTTGGCAAATTTAAAGAAAGGAAGGAAGAAAAGGAAAGGAAAGGAAAGGAAGGAAAGAAGGAAAGAAAGGAAGACATTAAAGGAAGGAAGGAAGGAAAGAAAAGGAAAAGAAAGTAAGAAAGAGGAGCCGGATCTCACATGGTTACCATGGTTCAAATCTCTGGCCCAGTCTGCCTGAAACACACAGGGCACACACCTGAGTGCCAAGGGTCAATGGGCTGGAGCACTGAAGGAAGGGAATCATGGCATGATCGGACCGCATGTGGAGGGTGTTTCTCCCTCTCTCGTGCTTGTGCCTACTATCTTGAATTTTTAATAAGACAAAACCTTTGGGACCAGCAGTTAGCATATTGGCTATGTCGCTGGGCTCCCACATAATCAACCCCGGTTCATGTCCCGGACCTGGTGGCTTAAACTCACGCCGGGCGCGTGTGCGTGCATGCCCAAGATCCCGAGAGGAGAATGGAGGAGAGAGGATTGTAGCGTGGCCATCCCCCTGGGGGGTGACTTCTCTCTTTCTGTCTCTCTGTCTCTCTCTGTCTGTCTGGCAAGCACACGCGCCCTATAGCAAAAAACAAAACAAAACAACAAAAACAAAACCAAAAAAACCTCTAAAAAAAAAAAGAAAAAAAAAGAAAAAACCTTTGATGACACATGTTAGAAAAATATAAAGGCCAGCTCCATGGCACAACAGTAACGTACTCCTCAAGAGAAGCTGGATCCCACATGGCTACCACAGTTCGAATTGCTGGCCTAGTCAGCCTGAAACATGCTGGGCATGTACGCAAGTGCCCCAAATCCAATGGACTGGAGGAAGGGGGATCACAGCATGACCACAGGGTGCTCATCTCTTTCTCTCTCTCTCTCTCTCTTTCTTTCCCTCTGTCTCCCTTTCTCACTCTCTCTCTGTCTCTCACGCACACACATTCTATTATGTATAAAGAAAAAATTGAAAAATGGAAAAAATTTTCAAAAGAAAAGGAAAAATTTTAAATTCAAAAACAAAAAGGAAAAGAAAGATATAATGAAAATAAAACACTGGCACTTTTTGAATGGCCAGTATGCCCCAAAGAGGTAGGTGTCTCTGGCAGACACACACACTCGCTCAAGGCTCCTGGATCCTCCTGTGGTGAACTAGACTGACTCCTCTTCCTGCCGCTAAGGTGATGATGACCAAACGGACTAAAGACATGGGCAAGTTCAGCTCTGTTACTGTGTCTACCATTGATGAAGAGGAAGAAGAGATTGAAGCTGTAAGTGCTTCTGCTGTCAAGGGAATTGGAATTGAGGGGGTGGGGGAGGAATGGGGACTCTGGAGCTTAGAGGCTCCCATGGCAAAAGAACCAGAGACTTTGCTTCTGGATTTTATTCTGCTAGTAAGAAACAATATGACACTGAACTAGTGCCTGTTTCCCTGGATCTCGGGGACATCTGTAAGATGAGAATGAAGTAATTGGATGAGATCGATGAGGTTTTTTTACATTGTTTTTTGGAGATGCCATAGAGGGCAAAGCCCTCATCACTCTTCAATTTCAAAACTACTGGACTACTAAATGATTTCAGGTCCCTTCCAGTCTGGCTCTGATGGTTATGAGTTGGTCCTTAGCAGTAGCAGCAATTATCTGTATGGTACTTTAGTATATAATGATGTTTACAGAGAGATGTTATCTATTATTTTAAAAATGATTTTGGTTGAAACCTGAACTCTCCTGGATTATTGAAAAGTTGAGTTGAAAGAGTG